AGCCCTGAAAAAATGGTTGAAACGCCATCTCCAAATTCCTCTTTCTTTTCTATAAATCTTCTTCTTCATAAACCCAACTTCATAAACACTGCAGGCTGAAGACTGACACTAGGGAGCACTGCAGTTTGTCAAACATCCAGCGAATTGTTTAAAGTTTCCATAAGTATGCCTGCTGTCACATTTCTAAAAGTGTTTTTTCCTCTTCCAACAATCACTTATGAGTCCCCGGCCACAGCAAGTCACTGATGCTGGAGGCCACAGGCTCATTGCCCTCTACGTGCTTATGAAAACACCCTAACAGTAAAATTGCGTGTGTGAAGTTCAAATATGAAAGAGAAGTTCTGTAAATAACAAAAAACTGAATTGAGACGTTTGAAACGTTGAGTAAAGGGTGGATTCTGCAGCACCACAGTGTTCACACACACCCTCCTAAAAAATGTAGCCGGTGCTAATTTGATATTCAGAGCAATTAAATCACAGCAAAACAATATTTGCAATGTAAAGATGTAGCGGAACATGGCTGCAGCTAACAGATATTTTAATTGTCAATTAATCTGTTAAATACTTTCTTGATTAGTCGATTAGGTCTTTTGTCTATAAAAGTGTCTTAGTGACTTTTCTTATATGCTCCATGCTTTGTTTACGTAGCTGGGCTGGCTGCGCATGCATTTCAGTGCACTTTAGTTCACTGTGTTGTGCCCCTCTGGCTAGCTAATTGCCGCCGCTGCACAGCGCTCATACGGCAGCGTACTGCAAAATCAAAGATTGGTCAGCATGAGCTGCTGCTTTGTGTTTTATCCCATGTCTCCACTTCAGCGGGTGTTTGTTGGATTGATCACATGGTGCAGGTTGAAGACAGGCAAAGTCATGTTGTCCTTTACAACAATGGAAGACAACATCCCATGACTCATCCAGCTAGCGGTGCTATGATTGTCAGCGAGTAACTCCAACCACCACAACACCTGGCCTGAGAGGTGCAAGTGTGCTGTAAGTGTCGGTTGCCTCTTCTCTTTTTGTCCCGACCTTTACGGTGAGTGCAGATAAAGTAGTGAACGATGTCGCAGCCCTCTGAGAACAGTAACCTCAGTCATCAACATTTCCACACTTCAGTCAAATGACCGTTTCAACAGCGGCTCCTTCAGTGACGCTGGGAACACACGTTGCGCAAACATTTTGAGATTTTAGTGTAACATACCCTCTGACATACTCATCTAACAGAGGGCCATTGCTGTCGTTGAGTATACATTAATCCAAAACCGCACTGGAGGTCTTACAGAGTTCTCCCATACCCAGTGAGTCAAGTAGCTTTTGCCCAATCGAGACCAGGAGCTCAAACTTGAATGCTGCTCTCTTTGAGTGTCGGTGTTCATGTGAGAGAGAGCACACATCCTAAAACCTCTTCCACTTCAAGCTAAATCCATCTGCTACACAAAGCTGTAAATTACACCATGAAACTTTATGTCCCCTCCATTAAACTAACTCTAATAAAGTAAAGTATGAATGAATAGAGAATGTCAGTAGTCTGTTGCCTTTGACAGACATTGAACTGGGCATCAGAAACAATCTCTTTCACTGAATAATAATCAAAGACAGAGCCCGACGCTCCTTTATACCGTCTCCTTAGAGCCGCCATTATTAAACACCTGATAAAAGACTGGGAGAGGAATCCAGGCAGGAAATACATCCAACTGCCTCCCCGAGTATCTGTCTCTTCTCTTATCTCCGGACATCTTTCTCACTTAAAACTTTCCATTTCTCTCTGATTCTGTCTCCCTCTCCGGCTCTGCTCGTAAATCAACAGTTACATAAACTGCCTTCAAGTTGGTTTCCACCAGTGTTACATGAGACTCCCCTAAGTACAAAACAGGATGTTATAGAACCCCACGTGGTTCAGACGCTTCAGCTGAGCTTGTGTGCAGCTGTATCAAACTGTTTTCTCCAGATCTCTTTTTTGTTTTAAACAGATGTGGGCTCAAGTAAAACGGTCCCTAGAGCAGAAGAAGGAGGCAGTCAAGTCACCTTTCTCCATGATACAACTATCTTAATTCAATTTAGACAAAGCAACACTGGCTTCCCATTTGTTCCACACGGAATCTCGCCTGACACGCAGAAAACGTTCACATTCACACGTGTAGAACAGACACACACTTAGTGTTATTCATGCAACTAACTGCCACTCTACTTTCACACACCTGCAACTACAGAGACACATACTGCAAGCTCACAAACACAGAAATATACTCGAGTAGCACGGATGATCTATGTGCAAAGTTCTATAAGTGCATCGCTCGTGCTGCCGTAATGTTGCCATTTTTATGAAGACATTAATGAGCTCAGCCCTGCAGTATGCCGTTCAGAGGTGTAACAGGAAGAAAGTAGCACTTGATGTTGATAAATATGCACAGTATCAGTAGTGTGGTTATGCCACCTTTAGATAGAGTATATAAGATGAAACATCCAGAGAGAAAAGCCCGGTGTGTGTTCTGTGTAAATGAAAGCCAGCCAACAAAATGAGCAAATACCATGGTAACCAACATGTCGCCCCACTCAGCCATCCATTACCTCAGTGTGTGCCCAGTTAGTGTGAAACCAAGCAGTCGGTTTGAAGAAGCAAATACAATTTCACACGACTTATTCAAGTAACATGTTCAATGCTTAGATCCAACACTGCAGTGTGTGTGTGTGCCTCAGGGTTGTCACCTCAGGTTACCTTTCTCACGTCTTAAGATGGTTTCATACACAGGTTTGGCATCACACACACACACACACACACACACACACACACACACACACACACAC